TTTGGTACATGTGAGCTGAGCCCACTCACCAGTCCCCCAAATGACCATCAAGTAAATCCAGGATTATCTAGTCTCTAGTAACATGGACAAGGAGGCTTCCCACACTGACACTAGTGACTCAGAGAGTTTGCTCCGTCCTAAATCGGGACCAAACTACACGTAGTGGGATTTCATGGGCACTGTCCAACATACAATCAATAGCTAAGTGCCACAGGCCGGCATGCTGAGAGGCGAGGAACTCCAAGCTTCAGAGAGGAAAGTTCAGCCACAAGGCGAGGACCCTCACATAGAAGCCAGGGGTAGAGGCTCACCTTAGAGCCGCCGGCGCTGCTGCTCCTAATCTGCAGCACTCAAGTCTCCCCCCAGGCAGAGGTGACCACTTCTAGGGCCCCCCTCTCCTCAGACCAAGCCAGTATCCCGAATGTCTGGGGATCTTTCAAAATGCCCAGGTGCTGATGCATTGTGCTTGGAGAGGCCTAAGAGTCTCCACATCTAAGATCTCTCAGAGGACACCATCGCTCTTCTCCCCCAGGGCCGCACCTGGAGTAGCAACTCTCCAGAGGTGGTGACAAATCGGAGAGCTTCCCTGCGAATAACCAAGGCAGTCTGCACACAGAGAACTGCATGCACGGAGCATGGGGGCAAAGACCTAGGAGGCAGGCTGCTCTGCCAAACTCAACACCGGGCTCCACCGGCCACCAGGCAAGTGGCCTGGGACCAAGTCCTGACCTGTGTGCACCTCTGGATTCCTTGTCTGAATCTGCACCTGGAACGAGGAATAGCTCCTCAGAGTGCTGCTGACGATGAAATGAAGTTGCACACACAGAAAGCACGTGGGGCACCCTGCCTGACACACTGCAAATGCCAGGGAAGCACAGGATAATCAGGAGCCCGCACAGGAGGACCCTTGTTGGGGAGTCGTCTCAAAAGGGTCCAGGTAAGGTTTACTCCCCTGTACTCTAATGCTCACGCACATCCATGCATGGCCTCTGATCCTTTCAGCAATTGTACAGTTAAGTAAACCAGACTTCCATCCCTAGTCATCCAATCAAATTAGAGAGAAAGTTCACTGTGAAAGGGCAGCGCCCAGCAAGGGAGCGACCACTTCCAGTTCAGCCCACCGTGCAGGCCTCCTCTGGGTGCTGTGCCCATTGCCGGGCCCTCTGGGTACACAGAAAAGAACACGCAGGACCCTGCCCTAAAGCAACACAGACCTGCGCTCTGCCAGCACAGTGCTTCCAGGGTCACTGCTCTTCAGGCGGGGCTTCCACCCATCATACACCCCAAAGTAACACACCTCGTAGTGCGTCACTACTTGTACACCTAAGGAGCAAGGTCCTGCGTGCTCCCTGGCACCACAAATGCCCAGAGTGAGGTGAGTCCATGCTGACATGCTAGGAGTCCGGGAGCCATCCCACCTCCCCAGGTGAACTGCCTGCCATTCTGTCCCCATCGGTGACACACAGGCACGCACTATGTGCCCACCACCCAGAGGGTTGTGCATGGGGGAACGCAGTGCCTGGTGTGCTGGGAGTGTTTAGGGGGAAACGGTCGTGACAGAAATAAATTCTGGGCACCACCTTTTCTTTCCTGCGGCTCTGAAGAGCAAAGTCAAGACCTCGCATATATATGGGAGGCAAGTGCTCTACCACCGAGCTACAGCCCCAGCCCAAGGGAAGACCCAGACAGAACTTGGTTGGACAAAAGGCCACAGCCTTTTCTAACGTTCGATGGGCCAGTTATTATTTAATGTGTAGCTGAGTGCGCACAGAGGTCTACGAGGGGATGGTCTTCAAAACCTGCCAGAAAGCCTGGCCCCACGTGGCAGACACTGTCCCTGAATCCCACCCTCTCAGCATCCCAAAGTTCATAATTTGGAGCAGATATGCCTAGAACATGGGCAGGCATCAGTTCCTGGAGCACTCTGGCGACGTCTCCTTCAAGCACACATGGCGTCAGCTTTTCTGCCTGTCACAGAGACAAGCAAAGGCCCCTCTGTCTGCACGGAAGCAGCACCCATCCAGCAAAGGCCTGCATCGCCTCCCGCAAGGGAGCCGCTTCAGCACGTAACCAGCGGGCGGCTTGGGGCCTCACGCCGCTCCCTCCGCCACTGACTGGCTTCTCCTCCTTCCCTGTCCCTCCGCTCCTCCCCTCTGATCCAGGTTCTGGGACACCTCCCCTACAACTGGAACTCAGCCCTCGCCCCAGGGTCTCCATTTAGCGGGCTCCAGCTGGGACAACCAGCCCACTCCAGAGCCTGTCCGGGATCCCACGGCATCCTGGCAGAGTCCCAGCCCTGTCACCCTGCGCTGTGATCAGAGCACTAAGAAGCCCTCCAGGGCTGGGACCAAGCCTGTCCCACTGGCCCCGGCAATCCCGGCACGGGGCTCACAGGTGCCTCAGTAACACCTACTACACACCCCTGCGGAGACACTGCAAACAGCACTCAGTCTTTCCCCAGCATGGGGAGTCCTTTTCTGGCTCAGAAAAGATTGTAAGCTAAGAGTCACTGGCAGCAAGGGCGGAGGCTCTGGAGGCAGCGCGGTTCCCCGAAAGCTGGCCGCCCCGCCCCGCCCCTTCTGTCCCTCGCTTCCTGGGCGCCTCTGATCACAGGCAGCCTGCGCCTTCTCTGGTCTCCCCATCTCTCTCCCTTTTGATTCGCAGGATCTGCAGTTCATGGAGGAATAACAATTAGGTCAAAGAAATCAAAATAAGTCCAACTGATTGGATGACTGTCCCTCTCACCCCACCTCCCCAAGCCTTGAACTAGAGGCTACAAACTGCCTGCCTTGGACCGGGGGTAACTGGCACCCTTGCTTCTGAAAAGCAGTGTTCTTAAGATTGCCAATAGGTAAAATTTAATATATTGAATGTAAAAGTCTACGTGTCCAGTTATTCTTGAGAAGTTAAGCATTTGACAACGCGAGCCTGCATGCACTGGGCCCGAGTGGGCTGACGGCCTTCCTGAGATGGGCCCGGGGCCCCGGAACAGCAAAGCTCATGCCTTCCTCGTGCCTGACAGTCTGAGGCCCCTCACCGTGGTCACCTCTGATGCCAACAGGCAAAGCTCACTTCGCTAATTTCTGGTTCCGCGCCTGGCCCTGGCTACGCATATCTGAGCTCTCCAACCCACATCGAACCACTTGGGAAAGACAGGCTCCAGCTGCTCTGGTGTCTCTCGTGGTGTTTAGCGCCTCTAGCAAGAGGCCAGGGCAGAGCTCCCAACTCGTAAGCCACCGCGCCTTATGCCCGCTATCTGGAGTGCCATCTTGAAAGTGGCATAATGGTGCCCATGTAATTGCCCATATGCCTGTCCAACCCTGCAGATATCTGAAAGAAAAAAAAGAAGCCATTGATCCTGAGGTCTCAGAAGTGAGGAATGGATGAGAGGAGGAGCCCCAGGGGTGCAGCTGGCCTGGCTTCCAGCATCCTTGCTGGCTGGGAAGGGAGCCATAGCTCAGTGCAGAAGACCAGCCGCCCTTCCCACCACCAGAGCTGCACAGCGAGGCCCAGGGCCACTTCCGAGTTACATGCAAGCCAGGGGAGAATTCTGCGCACAGCCCCACGAAGCAGCTTGCTGGGCACACAAAGACCACCGACATTTTGCATCGAGTTTAGAGATCTTAAACCCACAGCAAATTCCAGACTCCTGCAAAGTTAGAGTTAATAACAAGAACACAAAGGTGACGGGACGAACCCCAGCCTGTCAGCGCAAGGACAGAACTTAATGTTTGCGAGACGTATTCCTTGCTGAAAGACACCGCTGATCCCCGAAAGCAGCCACTGGACACGCCCTGGCAGGCAAGGTGCTCGGGGTGTGGCGAGCCACAAGGCAGGCGCAGGAACGGCCCTTGGAACGCTCGCAGTCCTCTGGGGAAGTGTCATGAGACACACGTGCTGACTGCAATAACCCGGGTGTTGATCTGCTATGGAGGAGTCAAGGCATAAGAGCTGGCACAGAGCCTCGGGGATGAGGAGCTGCCCAGGCCCAGTGCACTTTCCCGAGCGCCCGCACACCGCGTGCCTCTCCTGCACCGGACAGGAAGCCAGGCAGCCGGAGGCACGCCTTTGCTCAGAGAGCCCAGGCCGGTGTGTGCGAGCTGAGCTTCCGGGTTAGCTGCTGCTGCTGGGAGACAGCAGGGTCTCTTCACCGCGAGGACACAGACGCCGTTTCAGTTATTCTAATACTCCAAAGCACTGAAGGGGAAGATGACGAAAGCAGAGCAGCAGGGGACGGGACCGAGGCTGACAAGACAGGCGGGGCAGGATGGGGAAGGGATGGAGAGAGGGAGGAGCAGGACGCCTCCTGGACACCTGTGCACTTCCAGTGATAGCTGCAACCGTTATGGACTGCGGAGGGGTACTAATAAGAAGACTCAACCGAACCCTTCCTAGCTGAGCCACGTTCTGCTGTGGGTGGGTATCCAGAACGTCTCTAATAATTTAATAAAACACATGAAGTTGAGAAACTGTCCAATCCTCTGGAGCACTTAGGGCTTTGCCAAAATAATCAGGCTTGTTGGTGGGGGGATAGGAGAGGGGCTGCTGCAGGCGTGGCCCGGAGGTGTCTGTCCCCCTCCTGCTGGCCTCTTGACTCGACTTCTCCCCTATCTCTGCCATGCATCTCCGTCATGCTGTCTTTCTTTGAAACGTCTGTAGACTGAGAGCCAAAATAAACCTCTTCTCCCTTTAAGTTTTAAGGTATTGGGTTTTTTGTTCCAGTAACTGGAAAATTAATGAAGATAATCAGAGAGGAGTGAAACAGGATAGTAAGCTTTGAAGGCCCCAAAAACACTTGGAGACTAACAATACTAATCTAATCTTCATGCACATTAACACATGAGATTCTGCAGAGAGGTGTGGTAGTTTGCCTGTAGTCCCAGCAGCACTCAGGAGGCCGAGACAGGAGGATCTTGAGTCTAAGCCTGCTGAGATATACTGGAAAGCTTTCTTGTAGATTGGACAAAAGCTTGAAATCCACACCTTAAAGGCTCATGGGTTCAGAGGTTTCCACAGTGATCAGCGGGGTCCAGGGCACAAACATTGTGGCAGAAGAGCATGGCAAATGACAGCTGGTAGCTCATGGCAGCTGGGAAGCAGAGCAGGTTAGGAGAAGCCAGACAGGAGGGCGCCCGGGCCAGCTATAGGCCCCTGGGCCACACGCACTCCAATCCGTTTCCTCTCCCAGCCCTCACCTGGTGGCCCATTTACTCAGGAACTCATCGCTGGCGTGAGTACCCTCCCAACCCACGCACCTCTCCAGGAGTCCCTTAATCCAGCCAGGTTGAGCATCGAGACAGGGAGACACATTGGGCTAGAGAGCAAGATCTTGCCTCAGAACAAAAACTCTGAGTACACACCATCCTCATCCCCATTTCTCAGGGTGCAGAATAAGAAATTTCTGTAGATGGCGCTATATCAAACCAAACAACCTGGAACTTATTAGTCCAATTTAAGTAGACAGGCCCACGCTAGATGTACAGCACCCCCTTCCACAAGCAAGCACACTCTAACTGGAAGTGTGGGCCCTCCTCATGGGAGAAAGCAGGCCCACATTAGTCCACAGCGCCCCTCACAAGCAAGCAGGCCCACATAGACAGCGCCCCACTGAGGTAAGCGAGCAGGAACGTGCCAGCCAGCCACACACGCACACAGAGGCAAGACCACGCACCAAGCCCAAGCTAGTTCTAAGCTTTGCCTCCCTTTGGCACGGGGCAGCAGAGGTGAGGACTGACCCACTGACCTGACCCTGCATGAGGACAGCGCCCAGGGAGCCAAGGGAACTACCTAACCCCACGGCTGGTGACTTTCAATCTAACATCAAGTCTAACAGTCCACTTGAATTCCTGCCTGGCACCCGCACCAGAGCCCAGAAGACTAACCACGTTCTCATCTACCAAAAGAAACAAGGCCACCCAATGCTCACACTGTAATTAGTCTGGAGTGAACAGACAGAGAGATTTCTGGTGCAGGGAGCAATTTGGGTGACAGCAGAAGTATTTGGCAAAGTTGTGCTTCCATCCACAACCTCCACAATGACAAATATGACCACAGCCATCTTCCCCACACAAACATGAACACAATCACAATCACAAACACGTCATCTTCCTCCAAATCATAAAAAAATAAGTCTATAAGCCGAGGTACCGTACTGCTGCATCTGGATGGCCTTGGGGCTGTTAACACTGTGGCACATGCCTGGGGAGCCCGCCAAACAAGCTGCCACCTCCCACCCCGCTAGGCAGGCGTGACTGAGTCCTGGGAAGGAGGTGAAGGCCAGCAGTTAAACCTAGCCACAGGGACCACTGAAAAGTAGACGTGAGCTAAAGAGTCTCCACACTAGAAACAAAACTTCCCACTGCAATTACGACCAAACCCTCCACACAAAAGCAAAGCTGAGTGAGAGAGAGAGAGAGAGAGAGAGAGACAGACAGACAGACAGACAGACAGACAGACAAGATAGGTCAACAAAATGCCCCCCAGATTTCCCAACTCCCCCAGAACTGATGCCCAGAGTACTAAAGTGAAGAAACCAGAAGCCAGACATGGAATTATTTTAAATGATATTATAGGAGACAGCGAAACAGATCAATAAGGCATGTGACAATTTCACAGAAGATATAAATAAACACAGATATTGGGTCGAACAAACAAAATTATCATAGAGTCTACAGAAGACAATAAGAGAAACCTGTCAGAAGTAAATAAAGGATGAAAACTATGACCAGCATAGAAAAGAACTGAGAGTCCATAAAAATGTTCCACATAGAAATTCAGGAGATTAAAAACTATCAAAAGCATGAACACCAGAAGTGACCAACATGGGGACAGGGTGTCAGATCTACAAGACGGCGCTGTTATCAGTGGCTAGTCAATAAACACCTTAAAAACAACAACAGAACACAAGAAATAGGTCCAACAGCTCTTAGCCGGTACAAAGGAGATATTCTAAGATGAATTGCAACGAACAAAAAATAAGAAGACAGCACAAAAGACATTTTAAAAACCTGGTTACTGAAATAATAGCAGAAAACTTTCCATATAAAGGAAAATAATTTAACATACAGACAAGTGAGGAATATAGAACTCCAAATAAGTCAGAAGAGGACATCTCTACAAGACATAACTCTGAAAATCCCAGGCATCTGACACAAGAACAGACTCTTAAAAGTGGGTTAGGAAAAAACCAATAAATTTCTTATAAAGGTAAACCCAGTAGTATTACATCAGACTTCACAGCACAAATCTTACAGGCCAGGAGATACTAGAGTGAAGGATTTCAAGCACTAAAAGAAAATAATTTTCAAAGCAGGCTGATATGCCCTGATAAACTCTTTCAAAATTGATGGAAAAATAAGATATTTTCACAATAAAGAGTACCTAAAGAAATTCTTAAGAACCTAACCAGCACTCCAAAAAGTTCTGAAGGGTATCCTTAGCAATAACAGAGACAGTAAAATTATCAGTGGCAAAAGGTCTAGTAGAATGCATGCAACAGATAGATTGAGCAGTTAGGTAGGAGAAAAACAGAGTTTGCAGCAGGAAACTAAGGCAATAATAGGAGTAAGCCCATGTAATTCAGTAAGAATTCCATGTGAACCGTCTCAATTCCCTAATGAAAAGAAACACAGGCATAATGGTTCAACAAACAAAATCCAACAGTGTAATATGTACAAGAAACTCCCCAAAAGAAACACACAGATTTTAAAAAGATAAAAAACAATATTCCATGTAAACAGAACATGGAGAAAAAGCAGGGGTCCCTATCCTATATTCAGACAAATGGATTTCAAACCAAACTGATTCAAAGAAGCAAAGAAGGTCACTACATACCAGTTAGGAGACAATGCTACAGGAAAAACTAATAATTATTGACATTTAGCCACCAAACAATAATGCACACTAATTTATAAAACTCCCAGATAAAGATTAAAAAGTTATAGTGAGGGACCTCAATACCCCACTTCACAAATAGGTGGACTGACTAGACCAAAAATCAACAAAAAATGTCAGAATTGAAAAACCTTTGAATAAATGGACTTAATAGATACCTACAGTGTTCCACCCAATAACAATAGAACACAAATTCTTCAAAGAATTCACAGAATTTCTGCCCAAATAGACCCCAGTGAAAAGACATATTCTGCCAACAAAGCAAGTGTAACTAAATCTAAAAGAATTGAAATTATACCATCCATATTAACAATCTTAGCACAATGAAACCAGAAACTGACAACAAAAGAAAACACAGAAATTATGCAAATACGTGAAAGACAAACAGTATACTTTTAAATGAACAATGGGGTTAGAGAACAAATTGGATAGTTTATAAAAGTAAATGATGAGGTCTCTAAAATATGCCAAAACTCTGGGACATCCTGGAAGCAGCCCTAACAGGGAAGCTTATGGTTGTAAATGTCCACATCACAAAAATAGAGCAAGCTCAAATAAAACAATGCACCTCAAAGCCCTAGAAAAACAAGAACAATTCAAAGGCAAAGCTAGTATAAGGGAGGAAATTATAAAAATCAAAACAGAAATTAATGAAGGTCCAAAAAAACAAATCAATGAGTTGGTTCAAGAGATTAAAGAAAGTAGACAAAGCTCAGCGCACCTAACCAAGGAAAACAAAAGAAGGAAAGAAAAGGGATACATACAAGAAGGAAGGGCTGGCAAGATAGCTCAGCAGAGGCACAGGGACTGGGGTTTGATCCCTGGCACCACACGCCACACCCCCAGTGTGTTAATCTAGTCCCAGAGACCCGGCATGGTGGCCCACGCCTGCAATCCCACTGCTGGGGAGGCTGAAGCAAAAGGATCACTACAAGTCTGAGCTGCATAGTGAGACCCTGTACCAAATACAAAGAAAGAAAGGGAAGGGAAGGAAAAAGAAAAGAAAATTATTATTTGTAGATGATAGGAACTCTACATAAAAATCCACCAGAACATTCTTAAAATTGATAACCACCTTCAGTAATGTAGCAGGACATAAACTCAGCACACAAGAAATCAACAGCATTTCTGGGCACTAATAATGAGTCTACAGAGAAAGACGTTAGGGAAAAATGCCACTCACACCAGCGTCCCGCTCAGACCCAGCAGGCCTGGCATACAGGCCAGGGATGAAACTCTGCAACTGAAGTTCCTGCAGAGAGAGTAAGGGACAGAACCACCCAGCTAGTCCAGGAACATCTTGCCAGAGGGGCACAAAAGGTTCACTCCCAAGGGTGGCAGTAGGACAGAGCTGAGCACAGCAGACAGACCCAAATCAGGCACAGCTGGATAAATTCAAACTTTGTGATTTGCACCCGAAAATCAGTAAGTGCTAAGGTTATAACTGCACCAACGCTCTACAACAAAGGTCAGAGGACAGTGCTATACAAAATGACGAAAAGAAGGAACAAAATGCAATCTCAGATGCCAAGCCCACCCATAGCAAGTGCAGAGGACACTAGCACAGAAGAAATTGGGAATCACACAGCTGAAATCTCTGAATAAATAGCATTGAAATAAAGAAACAACTGCAGAAAGACATAGAGGAACTCAGATAAGAAATAACCTCTGAAATAAAAAAAGAAATCTCTGAATTAATAGCATCTGGAGTAAATAATCAAATGCACAAACAGGGAAGAAACCCAATCTGAAAAAATCTCTGTAGTAAAAGAATTAATAACTGCTTCTAAAGAAGATGTTGATTTAAAAAATAGAGGAGATCAGAAAAATGACAGATTCCTTGAATGAGCAATACAGGAAAGAAATACATTGCATGAAGCAGACTCAAAGAGATAAAGAGGAACTTACAAATTCAATCACAAGCTTGCAAAACTTTCAGTGAAAGTGAAGATAGACTTTCTGATACTGAAGACACCATTGCAGCTAGTGAAAAGGTAAGAAAAGATCTTTTAAAAACAACTAGGATGCAGGAAAAAAATAAATCATCACCTTCAAGACAAGGCAAAGATGAACAACAGGCATCAATGAGAAAGAAGGAGTCAATACAAATGATATAAAAAGAATATGGGCAGAAGTAATGGCAGAAAACTCTCCAAATATGGGGCAACAATCTGACATTCTGGTAACAGAAGCATT